TTCCCTTCGCCGATATATGAAAGAGTAACGTTATATTACCGGATTCTCGCCCACGTGCCCAGTTAGTTAATTTAGTAAAGTCTATTTATACGTAGTATATAAGAAAACAAAGGGAAAGTTCCCGTAATAGGACTAAAACAGTTTGAAAATTTCAAAATAGGACTGCCATGTTTTTTATTCCCAAAATAGGAGTAATTACTGCCAAGTTTGGAAAATACTGCCATGTTTGAAGTCTGGTACTGCCAAAACATGGCAGTAATTAGTCCTATTTTGGGAATAAAAACATGTCAGTCCTATTTTGGAATTTTGAAACCTTTTTAGTCCTATTTCGGGTAATATCCCGAAAACAAATAGCTCTTTAAAAGACTATTACACCTTCCATTAATCCTAGGGAAAGTTCCCGAAATAGGACTAAAAAAGTTTGAAAATTCCAAAATAGGACTGTCATGTTTTTATTCCCAAAATAAGACAAATTACTGCCAAATTTGGAAAATACTGTCATGTTTAAAGTCTGGTACTGTCAAAACATGACAGTAATTAGTCCTATTTCGGGAATAAAAACATGGAAGTCCTATTTTGGAATTTTCAAACTGTTTTAGTCCTATTTTGGGTAATATCTCTTTATCCCTATGTGTACGTTCATCTCTCCACAATTTGCTCATTTGCTATAAAAATGTCATGTGGCCAATTCTAATGTTAATACGGAACACACAAACAAAGAAGGTCAACATTTATCGCAATTTATACCGTGGGATCGGTCCACCATGAGCATGGTGTGCCGATCCCATACGGTACCGTTTCCAATTAAAAATTAGAGCAGAGCTTCGTTGTTATTTCCCAGCAAAGGTGAGCATGTTCCTTTCGCACTTCCCTATCGCCGACTCCCGTTTGTGAGACACAGAGAATTGAATCGGCCAAATTAGCAATAGCAGAGCATCGATGGAAAACAGTTACTCCTTATTCGATGTATATGGTGGAGCCCATTCCTTTACTTGTTCGATGTTATCAATAATTTTTGTTATTTGAAGAAGAAGGACGGAGGGATAAGAACGCATAGGGAACATCATCTTTCCAGCTTCTTCTACCTATTTCATGAATTCTCTATTGCTTGGAGAATATTTTGTTGTTGGGGACTCCAACAGTCCTTAATTTGCTGTAATTGTTGTTATTATTGATTTATAAGCTTCATAAAACTTCCTCTTATAATCAGGGGATAGAAAGAAAAAAAGAGTTACATTTCACATACACTAGAGTTACATTTCATTTTGGCTAAAGTTACATTTTGTAACACACGATTTACATTTTAATTTTTCTCAATAAGTTACATCTTGATTACACTTGATTTACATTTGACATACTGCGAGTTACACAACAAAATAAACCTCTGTTATTCAATCAAAAATGATTTTTAATGAACCTAATATTAAGAAAATCATTTTTAATGAACCTAATATTAAAAATAAAACATATGCACTATTTATGTAAAATAATTGGACAATTGGACTTCTTTTTTCCATTAAACATGAATTACATTTCAGGGCACATGTTACATATGTTGTTAACTGAAGTTACATTTGTAGCAACACGAGTTACATCTAATTATGCACAAGTTACATCATTTATGCTACTGAGATGAAAATAAAAAAACAGGTATTGTACACGCGTGTACTGTTCACGCGTGTACTGTTCACGCGTGTACTGTTCACGCGATTTTTCTTTTTAAATTGATTGAAACTACGTCGTTTTGGGGGTGGAGCATGATGCTCACGGTATACGTTCTCAACGTTTATTTGTATCATACCAACGTGGCACCAAAATAGGATGATCCCACGGTATACAGTGCTTATACCGTGGGATCATCCCACGGTGAGCACCGTGCTCCACACCCAATACGACGTAGTTTTGCACAATTTTTTTTTTAAAAAAAATCGGATGAACAGTAACGCGTGAACAGTAACACGTGAACAGTAACTGTTTTTTCTTTTTATCCCAGTAACATGAATGATGTAACTCGCGTGTAAAATAATGTAACTCACGTCATTGATGAATGTAACTCAAACCTAGTCGAAATGTAACTTGTCCTATACATAAAATTAGAAATAAAATATTGATTTTAATGAAAAGAAGAATTCTAATTGCCCAATTATTTTACATAACTAGTGTATATGTTTTGTTTTCAATATCAGGTCTACACAAATATTTTTTTATAAAAATAATTTTTATTTGAATAGCAGAGGTTTACTGTGTTGTGTAACTCGCCTTATATTTTGGTGTAACATGCGTTTTGGAAAATGTAAATCAAGTGTAAACATGGTGTAACTTGCTAAGAAAAATTGACATGTAACTCACGGTATAAGATATGTGACTTTAGTCAAATCTTGATGTAACTTGAGTATGCCCAAGATGTAAGTTAATATTCTTAGTGTACTCTTGTGAATTCTTTCTGCCTGTCCAAATTAACGATTCCTGAAGAGGTTTTCAAAGACATTACTCGTTTTTTGTGAAAAGCATATTCATGCCCATTATCTATGGTCAAACTCAAATGAGGAAACGTAAGGTGGGCAGCGATCGTTACGAGTCGGCATGGTCTTGAACGACCCAGAGGCTTGTTGATTAAGCAAACAAAACAGATTCTGAATACTTCCTTGAACTTGACTTATTCTTTGGCAGAGGTTTGGCAGAGTTATCGCGCTAGCAACCACAACGCAAGAGAAAAGGGAGATCGCTAGGGAAGGAACCAGACTGTCGGAGCCGCACAGTCTTTTTTTTACAGAACAAGGGTTTCTTGCTTTTTTAATGAACAATACTACGTAGTTTTGGGATCGGCACACCATGCTCATGGTGGGCCGATCCCACGGTATAAATTGCGCACGGTATACGTTCTCAACATTTATTTGTATCATACCAACGTGGCATCAATTCATGGGCCCAATTTATATAAAAAAACTATTTTCTTCAAAGTGTTATAATCTTTTCATCATTTATCTACATTTTAAAAAATATATATCATAATTTATAATTTTTTACGATCTTTCATATGACACTAATATTGCATATACAAAATTTTTATAAAAAAAATCTGAAAGTTTATTAATTAATCTTCCTATTTTTTCATCAACAGGAGTCATTCAATTCGAGAAATCAGTAGTAAGAAATATAGTTATATTAGTCTAAAATTAATTTTTTTATCATCATCTTCAACATATGACCTTTATCTTTATTTTTTATCGAGATTATAAGAACCAAAGTTAGCCTTTAAAATCAATTCAGCTAGAATTTAATAAACTTTGGTAGATTCAAACAATTTCACCTTTAAAACACTATCTCTTTATATATAAGAAAGTAATAGACTTTTTTTTATACTCTACTAAAATATGAAATAATTGTCTTACGCAGTAGATTAAATATCTGCCTATTTTATAAAAAAATTTCTACACTAATTAAATATGAAAATGTTAATTTATGCATTGGATTAAATATAAGAAAAATTGGTGGGGCTCACCATATAAAAACTACCCATTTTCTTTAAAGTGTTATAACTTTTACAGTTTTGCTCTAATTTTTACAAAACATATATCAAATTTCATATTTGTTATGATCTTTCATATGACACTAATATTGCATATAAAAAATTTAAAAAAAAATTTGAAGGTTTATTAAGTATAGTTAGTTTGATATATAAATATAAAACATAATTATAATCATTAAAGGATAATAGGTTACATTTTATCTACTATACTTACTTGATATCGTTGTTGAAAAATATGAAGTTGTTTGATAATTCTTCAAAAAAATACAATATTACTTTCATATGAAACATCGCAAGAATTATGAATTTTAATACATTTTTTAAATAAAATGAAAAGGTTATAACACTTGGAATAAAAATAGATTTTCAAAAAAAAAGGATAATGGATAAAAATATGATTTATTGACATTTAGTGACTATAATAAAAAAAACCTAGCCCTTATATGATATAAATAAAAATGCTTATATGCTCATTTTACATTTACAACTATGTGATGTTTGGTGACCCTATTTTTGAATTTATCAATCTTATCAGTCAATTTTTTTTATCAAATACTTAAATTTTGATATCGAGAGCTTAATTGTATAATGATCAAAATAAGAAAGGTTCAAGTTAATATTTTTGTCTGAATTGACTGAAGTTATTATAAACAGAAAATTTAGCCACTTTTTCAGATAAATGTTTATTTACTTTATAAATAAAAATATATTTAAATTTAGTTTTCCCATAATTCAGTATATTCAGCCAGTCCAGCGGTTTCAACAAGAATTTCATCGCTTTCAATAAATTCATCCATTTTATGTGTTACCAAACAGACTTTAAATAGCATTCTAAATGAAAAGATGTTCAACATATGATAGTATTGTCAATGTAAAATAGACCAATGGTTTTAAAAATGGTGTTGAAGATTCCAATCAACCAGTTGATGAAATAAAAATGTACTACGACTGTAGATATGTGTCCCCCTGTGAAGCAGCATGGAGAATCCTTGGATTTGAGATTCAATATAGAATTCCCCCCGGTTGAGAGACTAAGCTTGCATTTACCGGGTGAACAAAATGTCTATTTCTCCGACGTATCATCGCTACAGACAGTAGTGGACCAACAAACCATGAAAGAGAGCAAGTTTTTGACATGGTTTAAAGCAAATGAAAAGTACTCCCAAGCGAAGAGCCTAACATATGTTGAGTTTCTCCAAAAGTTTGTGTGGCACTCAAAAACGAAAGAAAGAAAGAAAGAAAGAAAGAAAGAAAGAAAGAAAGAAAGAAAGAAAGAAAGAAAGAAAGAAAAGAAAGAAAGAAAGAAAGAAAGAAAGAAAGAAAGAAAGAAAGAAAGAAAGAAAGAAAGAAAGAAAGAAAGAAAGAAAGAAAGAAAGAAAGAAAGAAAGAAAGAAAGAAAGAAAGAAAGAAAGAAAGAAAGAAAGAAAGAAAGAAAGAAAGAAAGAAAGAAAGAAAGAAAGAAAGAAAGAAAGAAAGAAAGAAAGAAAGAAAGAAAGAAAGAAAGAAAGAAAGAAAGAAAGAAAGGATTTTGTATTGGTAGAGTAAATTATGTGTCACCTGGAAGCGGTGAATTTTTTTATGTGCGATGCCTTATGAATGTGGTTCGTGGAGCCACATGTTATGAAGATCTTAAAAAGTTGGATGGTCTGCAATATCTGACTTACCGTGACGCATGTTATGCTCGGGGGTTACTTGACGATGATAGGGAATACATAGATGCAATTGACGAGTCAAGTCACTCAGCTTCTGCGCATTTACTCAGATATCTATTTGCAACAACCTTAACATCCGGTTGTGCATCGCGTCCGGAACACATTTGGGAAAAATGTTGGATATTTTTTTCATACGACATTCTATATAGACAACGTCGTTTGATGCAATACCCAGGTATAATCAATGTTCTAAAAGGTGTTAGGCGCTAGTCGGGCGCCAGCCCAAGGTCTAGTGCCTAGGCGGCTAGGCGGGCGCCTAGGCAGGGACTAGTCGGAGACATAGAAATTGCATTTTAATCTATATTTTTGCATAAATATGTTAAATAATATTGTATTTTTGTCTGTATAAAATACATATATGCATATACATAAACAAACATGAATGATAGAATTATCACATTTAATCATACATAGTATATGATAACTAATCACTTAATTTCATTATGTTATATGATAAAATTTCGGTATATATACAAACATATACAATTTTATCTTAATTTACAACTTCAATTCTTTATATTCATGGCTAAAGCCAAATTACGTATATCCTTTAAAAAAATAAAATAAAAAAGTAAATAATGTTTGGCGAATCTAGACGGCATAGGCGGTCGATTAGGCGCTCTAGGCGGGAAACTAGGCGCCATAGGCGTCCGACTAATTCACCTAGACGGAAAACCAATTAGCCGGAGCGCCTACACGAAAATCGGGGAGCCCGGCCACCGCCTAGCGCTTAGGCGGGGACTAGTCGGACGCCTAGAACGTTTTTTGGAACAGAGGGTATAATGTATTCTAATTTCATACTTTTATTCGTGTGTGATAATGACCTTATTACATGTCTGTTTTGTTTTAGTAGTGCACATAATAATATCACTCTATGTATTTAGATTTGACACTGACGGATGAAGAGATAAAAAATCTCACAATTATTGAGATCAAGCATTTGTTGCAAAATTATGGAAGAAGTTTGAGGGATTATCATCCGATGCCATTTCCACGTGGTCATCTCACTCCCAGAACAATCAATAGGCTAATGGCTGAAGAGTTACGATACAACAAAGAAGAAATGAAAAACCTTCATGATAGCCTTATCAGCAAACTAACAGCAGAGCAGCGGGAAATTTATGACATTGTCATCAATGCTGTTAATAACAAAGGTGGCATTTTCTTTGTATACGGTTATGGCAGAACCGGGAAGACTTTTGTCTGGAGGACTTTATCAGAGCTTTGTGTTGTAAAGGGGAGATTGTCCTTAATGTGGCATCAAGTGGAATAGCTTCTCTTTTGTTGCCTGGTGGAAGAACTGCTCATTATAGGTTTGCGATCCCCATCAATATAAATGAGCATTCGACTTGCAATATAAAACAAGGTAGTCAACTAGCCGAACTAATCGTCAGGTGAAAACTTATCATATGGGATGAAGCTCCTATGGTCCATAAACATTGTTTTGAAGCACTTGACAAGACAATGCGTGACATTCTGTGCTTTACCAACCCAGCAAGTTCGAGTACGCCTTTTGGAGAAAAAACAATTGTTTTGGGGGGCGACTTTCGTCAAATATTACCGGTGATTCCCAAAAGTTCTCGAAATGATATTGTTCGTGCTACCATTAACTCTTCTTATTTGTGGAGGTCATGTAAAGTTTTGCGATTAACAAAAAACATGAGGTTACAAAGTGCTGACTCCCATGAAACATGTCACGCCCCGGACCTACCCGGACACGTCAACAATCCGCCGTACAGTACGAATGGTCAACCGCGGTCCAACACATTCATACTATACAAGGCGTCTGGGATATCATTCACACATAGTACATCCATAAACAAACATAATATAAAATATTCATTGAAAACAGCGGAAACGTTTAATACAAGTGTTCAAGCCACACTTGGCGAAGCATGGGCATACAAGCCATCAAATAGTTATTCAAAAGATAACATCCATGAGCATTAATTTAAATGAGTTTAAAACAGGAACGGAGGAAGCACGAACCACGTCTTCTTCTCCTGAATTCTCTTGGAGCAACGGCGAGGGTAGCAACCTTCAAGTTCTACCTGAAACTGTGAGGTGGCCTCCCCCGTGAAGGGGAGGTCAGTACTTGGAAGCATTTGACAAGTACAATGACAACTATACTAAGTATAATCAAAGTTTAAATTTCCAAGACCCTCAATCTAGGATGTTATTATATTATAGGTCATAACCCGTGGTTACCCTCTTTGAAAGTATACTTACTTTATATATAAAGTCAAGTAGTCGCCCGAAGGCCCATGTTTACCTTGAAAACATTTAACCATTTCCCCGTGACTTCAAGCCACACCCATCTATATTAGTTTACCATGCTAGAGGCTTCCTCTAGTCATGTTTTGTCGTGCTAGAGGCTTACTCTAGTCACTCCACTTGATGTTAGAGGCTTCCTCTAATCACCTTACATACGTTGTGCTGGAGGCTTCCTCCAGTCACATTACGTTACGCTAGAGGCTTCCTCTAGTCGTCCTACACGAACGCTGGAGGCTTCCTCCAGTCATTCTTCATCGTGCTAGAGGCTTCCTCTAGTCACGATACTAGTTCACTAAGCAAGTTCTATGCCTAGAGTTCCTCTATTATGAGTAGCCTTTGAGGCCTACTCCTACGGTAACTTAGCGTTTACCCATTTCTACCTTAAGACATCTCATAAGACTACTTAAGGTGTACCTCTCTCACAATCCAAGCCCTTAGGATTTGTTCTATCACTTTTCATACTAACATTTCCGACTAGTAAAATCAATACTAATCCATTTGTCTTTAAGCCACCAAGCTCTTTAATTCATAGTTATAAGGCTCATTCCCATGAATTTCCCAATCTATATATGATTTAATCTCAATATCAAAAATATCACTTTTATCCATTCATGATTTCTATACATGAAGTAAAAGTATATTTCATCACAAACATTCATGATTTATACATTCATCATTTCATCATTCTTACAATGCATAAATTTGTAAGATTTATGATTTATGAAGTAATACACCATTTACTCATAAATTTGTATATTATGCATCTTCTATTAATAAACAACAATATTTTCATTAGGCATTATTAATCATTAATAATCCATGAAAATCACATTTAATTATCTTAGGTAATCTTATGAAATTAACCCAAGTATTATAAGCAATATAGTCGGTCATCCTCACCTTAAGCGAGCTTAAGCGTGTTCTACGCTTCCCGATTGAACTTTGACTAATTCCGGCAAACTTTGACCAACTCCGGCGAACTTTGACCAACTCCGGCGAAACTCCGGTGAAGCTCCAAAGTACTTTAATCAAGTTCCTAACAAGGTTTTAACATCATAAAACCTTAATCAATACGAATAACCTCTAAAAGGTTATTTTCCGGTGAACTTGTCGGTTTGGCTCCTAAGTCCGTTTTTGGACTTAGAACCCCCTTCCAACCCATCATTCTACACTTAACTCATGTGGAACAATCCTCAATGTTCTTCATATGATATATATCTCATATGGTAGAAGAAAAATAAAGGAAAAGCTATGATAAGGCCATTACCTCAACTTTTCTCACTTTTTCCTAGCTTTTCTCCTCTTGAAACACCTTCTTTGGACTCCTCCTCCTTGAGCTCGGTTCTTGGCTATGGAGGATGAGTTTGCAGAGCTCTTTCTCCCCTTTTCCTTGGTGCTGGCCGAAGTGGTTGAGTGAGGAAGGAGGGGGTGGGTTTCTTTTTGTTTCTTTTGGGCAATTATGGGTGAGATGGGTCCTCTTACATGTCAAACATGTTTCCTCCATCAACTAAAGAGTATTCAGCCACCTTTTGAGCTCAATCATTCCCCTTTTTGGTTGACAATTTCGTGGGGTGGCCCCCACCTATGTGGGAGGTCATCCCAATTCGTCCCAAAGTGTACAATCGGTCCCGAAAGTTGTATTTTTTGGACTGTTTTAAATATATTTTATTTTATCGGGTCAAATAAAATATATTATGTGTTCTCCATCATTATAACCCTTATAATGAATATTCATTCCCCAATTTTAATTTATAAGTCCCCGAAATTAAATTTCGGGCTTTTATCGGTTAAATTGCCAATACCGGTATTTGGGCCTCTTTTGACCAATCGGTCAACTCAAGACCTTTCCATGGTTCAAATGAATTATCCACCACCATATAAATATTATCTAGACCAAGATGAATAATTTATGTGGTCCCGGGAATATCGGGCGGCCCCCGCTCCCGGTGCGGGCCCCACGTGCGAACATACTATTCACGCAAAAATTAATAAAAATTTGTAAACCTCGTAAATTCGTCAACCATTCCATAAGGTTAAAATACAATATTCACTTTAAAAGTAAATACATTTGGGGACGGTGTTACAAGTTCACCCCCCCTTATTTGGGATTTCGTCCCCGAAATCCACGTGTCTAATCGAAGAGAAAAGGGTATTCCTCTCTCATTGAGACCTCAGTCTCCCATGTTTCTTCCTCGACCCGACCACTCCTCCAAAGGACTTTTACCATAGGAATCTCCTTGTTCCTCAATTTCTTCACCTGTTGACCCACAACCTTTACCGGTTCCACTGCATATTGTAGATCTTCACGTATCTCCACCGGTGGCTTCTCAAGAATATGAGATGGATCTCTCACGTATTTCTTGAGCATCGATACATGAAACACGTCGTGTATCTTCTCAAGTTCCGGCGTCAGCTTGAGACGGTAAGCCACCGCCCCAATCCTTTCAAGGATTTCAAACGGACCAATGTATCGGGGGTTAAGCTTTCCCCTCGATATAAACCTGATGATACCCTTCCAAGGAGAAATCCTTAAGAAGACCTTATCACCGACCTCGAACTCCAATGGCCTTCGTCGTTTGTCGGCATAACTCTTCTGCCGATCTTGAGCAACCTTAAGTCTATCCTGAATGACTTTCACCTTAGCCTTGGTGATTTCAACAAGTTCAACCCCTTCGAGCTTGGCCTCGCCAACCTCGTCCCAACACAACGGTGTTCTGCATTTCCTCCCATACAAAGCCTCGTATGGGGGCATGCCAATACTCGCCTGATAACTGTTGTTATAGGCAAACTCGACTAGAGCCAAATGTTTGTCCCAACTCCCTTGGAACTCCAGAGCACATGCCCTAAGCATATCTTCCAATATCTGTATTACCCTCTCAGATTGTCCATCCGTTTGTGGATGAAAAGCTGTGCTAAACTTCAGTTTAGTACCCAAAGATGCTTGAAACTTGGGCCAAAATCGAGATGTGAATCGCGGATCCCTATCCGAGACAATGGATATCGGGACTCCATGTAGTCTCACAATCTCCTACGTGTATAGCTTTGTCAATCTTTCAAGAGGATAAGTAATGTTGATAGGCAAAAAGTGTGCACTTTTGGTGAGCCTATCAACCACTACCCACACTGCATCATAGTTGTTCACTGTTCGTGGTAGCCCCACCACGAAGTCCATGGTCACGTGCTCCCACTTCCATTCCGGAATGGTCAGTGGTTGCAAAAGCCCCGCCGGGTGTTGATGCTCTGCCTTAACTTGTTGGCAAGTAAGGCATCGACTCACGTACTCTGCGGTGTCTCTCTTCATACCTGACCACCAGTAACTTTCCTTCAAGTCTCGGTACATTTTAGTACCTCCTGGATGCATAGCATATGCCGAAGAATGAGCCTCCTCTAGTATGGACTTTTGGAGCTCCTCACTCTCTGGTATGCATACACGGTCTTTAAACAGTAAAAGACCGTCATCACGTACCCGAAAGTTCTCCACGGGCCCCTCAAGGATCCGTTCACGGATCTTCTGACATTCTTCATCAGTGGCCTGACATCTACTGATCTCACCCAGCAATGTAGGCCTAACCTTGAATCTAGCAATGAGAACCCCACTCGTGGACAACCCCACTTGTGCCCTCAAAGCTCGTAGACATGTGAGTAGTGTCCCCGATGTACTCTTCCTGCTCAGTGCATCGGCCGCTACATTATCTTCAACTGATGATACCCCGACCTTAAATCAATCTTTGAGAATACCGTAGCCCCTCGAAGTTGATCAAACAAGTCATCAATCCTCGGTAAAGGATACCTGTTCTTGATCGTGACCTTGTTCAACTGTCGGTAGT